CGTCGACCAATTAGCACATCTGACCGGATTCTGGACAGGTTTTGCGTCATCACTATGGAATTTCTGTCGCTGAATCGCAGACGTTCCTCCTCGCGAAACGTCTTCCGTTCGCAGGCTAGATTTTAACCTGACTTCTAATTCTTGGTAAAATTCAAGATGGCGGCCAAGATGGCGACCATATTTGGTGACGTCACAGGCCTCCAGCGCGCAGCGCCACCACTCATAAGTTATAGCTCATCTTGTTGAGAAGATCAAAGGCTTTCCACTGAAGGCAAAATCGTTTTGAAATACTGCAACTTATCAAAAGGGTGTACCACGGTGGGGGTATGAAATTGCGTGTACGTCTGAGGGTCAATAGTACTTTAGCCTCTTTTCTTTTCTCGTTATTGTGTTAAATTTAGGACAAGCGCGTTTACATAGTAGCAGTTGGGATTGGAAAAAACATAAATACTACAACCCTGATACAGATAGCAGGAGAAGAACAACGTGTGGTTCTTGTCGAGGATTTCGAGGTCCTGCTGAATAAAACTAAAGAGATCAAGTCATCTATTTGTTCAGGTATTTTGCCCAGAAAGATTATAGATTATAGAATTTAATTTTGGTCTGAAGAAAACAAGATTTTTACAGTCTTGGCAATCTGTTGGGCTTTACTTGCTTATAGGGATGCTGATAATGAACCTTTATTATATACATACTGAGAAATGATCATCAAAAAGTTGTGTTGTAAATTTTGATACGCAAATGAGTTCTGGCCAATCAGAGGAGTGAACTATGGTTTTCACACGTGAAAAAAATGATACGTCCAATCAGAATCGCGAACGAGGTTTTTTACATGTGAGAAAATGATACATCCAATCAGAAGCCACAGAGGTGTGTGAGTTGCGCGCCAAAATTCCCACCTTTTCTTGCAGCTTGGTGAACGTCACTTCGCACACATTCGAGGAGAGAAGTTTTTTTTTGTCTCAGTATGTATACAATAAACACAATACCACACGTAAAGTGCTTCGTACGGTATTTACCCACTCGTTGTTTTTGTATCAGAAATCTGACTCGTTCGCTGCGCTCACTCGTTCGATTTCTGATACAAAAACAACTCGTGTGTAAATACCGTATGCCAGCCCTATTAAGCGCATAGGCATGATGGCTGCAATACTGTTGTCACTGTAATATTTCAGAACACTCCAGTGAGTTTTTATGGAATTAGAAGAGATCACGGTGCGTTTTGTGATACCTTGTAGTCAATATTACAGTAGCTTGATTTCACATAGTACGTGAAATAGGGAGGAGAAGTGTGACGTCAAGTTACCAACAACTTTTCACGTGCACACGCTTTTTTTATTTGTACATTTCTCAGCCGTTGATGCACGACTGCGACATGAAACTTCCTAGTTTCAAGCGCCCGCTCTACGGAGTAGGTGAACACAACACCAAAAGTTTCTTTTTCTTTTTCTAAACTCTGGTACGGCCCTTTCGATTAAATCCAGAAAATTTCGCCGAAATTTGACAGATTAAATGAAAATAAATAAGATCGATGAAGTATGAAACAGTGTGAATATAGTGAATTTTCACTTTGTTGTCATCCAAGAATATTGCTACCATGGCAACGTGACGTAACGACTTTTTTATGGTCTTTCTAGCACGAATCACATGCATGGCTCTCAGTGCAGACCTTGCATGTTGCTACATCTTTATTCATAGCCAAAAGACATAATGCCTTTGAAGAGTCAGTAACATTTTACTCAATTTACCTCTATATGTACTTTTTTCATTTGCAGATTAACACGCCACTGCCAGCTATGTAACGGGACGTTGTCAACAAAATCGCGGGGTTCATTTGTGGCGTGCAGATCTACAGAACTGAGTGTGCTATTCAGAAAGCCATAGTTGCAGTTTAGTTCAGCAAATTAAAGACCTGAATGGATAGTTTATAGAAGCGTTATGCTACTGTCGTTGCATGACTATAATTATGCATAACTATGACAGTATTGACACAACTTTCAAATTTGGTCAACGGTAGCTAGTTATATGAAGAATTAGCCAGGGATTTAAACCAATCAGAAACGAAGGAATATTTTAGATGAATGAACCTATAAGATATCTATAGGGATACCAGTGGCAGTGTATTAAAGCAGTGTGGTGAATATTTACGTGTTCAGCCCAGCATATACCATAAAGTTTACTTAAATGATGTTAATCCTATTGCAAAGGGTTGTGCATTTCTTGAGGATATTTTCTTTCTTGTCTATTGTCAAATCTCAGGTAAAAACAACCAACTAGAAAAACGTCCTCGAATTTTACAGTTACAAATCAAGAAAGATACAAGCCCGTAATTTACTTCAAGTCACAATTAAGCAGATTGTGGTGTTACAACTGTTGTAACGACGCGAACATCTGTGCCTCGTCCTTTAGGTCTTTCAGTTCAATTGGAATATTTACCGTCCAAAATCCTTGCAAACAAAGATGATAAACGGGACACTGACTCCTGCCCAAACGGAGTAGAGGGTAGGAAAGGTTTCCCGAGCAGGGGAATCAGTTTACAATCAGTCTCAATCAGTTTTTGGCAACCGTTCCCGACCACCAAGGCTCGAGCCATGTTCGCGGACTGAGGAAGAGCCTCAGGGTGGCTGCTGCTAGGTCAGCAAAACCGGCTGACATTTGGTTACATAGCAATGCCTGTACCTTATCTCCCCTAACCTTCTAACCATCTAGCCAGCGGTTAATAAAGAAATCTAGCGCTCTGTATTGTTTGATATGGAGGACAGATCAATATGGATCTGGAAATGACCAACATCAAAAATCTTTAGGAATGTGTCAACAATACCCACAGGTCCCCACAGATAGCCCAAGAGTAGTTCAAACAAAATATTTGTGGCTATGAAAATTAACCAATCAGACTTAGAAAGACTTTCAAAACAAAACCAAAAAGTAGAGAGGTCTATTGGATAGAAAGCGGGCCTCTAAACTGTGTTTTAACACTTAAAACCTCACTAAAGCAGGAAAAGCTATTACAACTAGGAGTGGAAACTTGGTCTCGTTTTTTTGCCATGCAACAAAGTCCGCCCTCATCACTAAACGAAATTGAGTCACCTGTTTCTGATTAGCTTGAAAAAAGATAATCAGCGAAAAACTGCTGAGAGGTTACATTCCTGCATTTTTACGCGGGAAAGTTGGGGCCATTTATCGTCATACTCGAGATAACTGATCCCAGGCCCCTGATATACTGGTCAGGGCGCACTACTAAATAAATAAAAATAAGTAACGATTTTGAAGTAGCACATTTACATAGCGATTCTTCATCTACCGGATTCCTGGTCGAATTGGAAACAGGAAATGTTGTTTTTCGAGGAGAGGGGAAAACCGGAGTACCCGGAGAAAAAACTATTCGAGCAACGGAGAAAACCAACAACAAACTCAACCTAAATATGGCGTCGACGCCAGGATTTGAACCTGGGCCACATTGGTGGGAGGCAAGTTAGACTGTTCACAGTCTCTATTTTTTCGTGAGATCGTTTAGACATACCGTCAGTCTTTCCGTCACGGTTACCTTGATTTTCAAATGTACTGAGTGGGCGGGCGTCGGGGATTATAGCTCTAACGGGGGCGGGGCAGAAAAATAGAGGGACTGTAATAACAATACTGCAGCTCGCGTTCACGGAGCCAGTTGTACCAGCAACGCAGTCGTTTGATTGCTCATTAGGCAATAGATGTTAATTTGCGTTGACATCGGGTTTAGTTCAACTAACACTGACAAGTCGTCGACAAGTCGACATTTCCATAAAAAGTACGTCTTCATACCATACAGGGGCACCCAACGACAATTTTCGGGAAAATATCTGTTCGGAAGACGATTTGAGATCTAGAATTTTCGGAAAATTTGTTGTAAAGTTTCTTGCTTGCCTGCCTCTCCTAGGATTTTCGAACATCTAAAAAATGGTAAAATTGCCCATTTTCAACGGATTTTTACCCTAAAAAGGTCACCTAGAATTTTCGGGAGTCCTTTTTCTGAGTGAAATTTTCGAACGGGTAAGTTTTGATCCCTATAATTTTCGGATCACAGACTTTCAGCTAGGAAATCCGAACAGATGAAAAATTTATAGGGGATAAAAATATGCCCATATCCACCGTTTAAATACTAAAACACGTTTAAAAATGCTATGTTTAAGTGGTTTTGAACTATATTCTCGTTGGGTGCCCCTGACCATAAGGCACATCTTGCGCGAACACACGAAGGATTTTTGGTATTTGATTAGAAAAATGTTTTCTTGTTTATTTTTGCCGATTTTATTTCGAGGAATGGCCTAGAAACATTATAAAATCACTGTTTCGAAAGGAGATATTTGTAAACACGCGTAATCGATGCTAAATGTGTCTGGCATGTTTTTCATCACCAGCGGAGTTTCTTAATTAATGAATGGTAAAAGGTGTGAAATTCCTGTCACGCCTCCTGAACGCGAGCTGCAGTGATGTTATTACAGTCGCTCTATTTTTCTCGCTTCCTCCCAAACCGCCCCCACCCCCTCAGTAGTTTTGACACTTATGCAAGATGGCAGCCCGTAACGCAAAACGCTCGATCTCGACGATCGTACGGGAAAATAGAGGACTGTGAACAGTCTAAAGGCGAGTGCTCTCACCACCGCGCCTCCCTTGCTCCCCAACTAACTATAAACTGAGGCAAAATTCGCCCGAGAATTTGAGGTAGTTTAACGCCATGCATGTTTAGCTTATATGCAATTATTTAAAATCTGGTAGCCCGGTCTCCCTAATTACAGTAATTAGGAGCCATCGATATGAATTATGCCCCATTCACATCAAAGCTTAAACATGTTTAAAACCTGTTTAGTTAAACACGGTTTAAGATTGTTTCCTTCATAAAAGCTGCTTACTGACTTCACTTTATTACAAATTTGGTGAAAAGTACAAAACAGGTTAAATTCAAGAGCCATACGGGCCCTTGGTTAAATAACAGCTGAAATAACTATGAAACTTCCCAAAACGCCACGGAAAAATAAGCGATACAAAGAAGAGACGAATTAGGTAGCTTTTTATGTACGAACCTTACATTCCCATGCAAAATCTGACTTTTATTCTTTTATGCAACATCGTATTTAGCAGTTCGGGTCATAGCCAGGCCAGCGTACGGTAATGTCATTAGAAGTGTTAGAAATTGCAATATGATCGATTAAGCTTGCAACACAGTCTCTTCAGAGCTCTTTTTGGGACTTAAAACCAAGAGGCCTTTTCTCATTTCAACCGGTCGAAAATTCGTCCTGTGCCGTGTGAACGGAGCTGTAGTAGAGTGGGGAAAAAAACGACGTCTTGCCAAGCGTTTTCGAGTTTGGTTGCAGAAACCTTACCATTTTGTGTTATTTTACTCTGTTTTTTACGCGTCAAGACGTTAAGTAGGTTAAAAATCTCAGGTACGGACGATTTTTTTGTCTTTGAAAAGTGAGACTTTGATCGACTCCTCAACGCTAAGGCCACGTCCACACGTATCCAGATACACAGAAACAGCATACTTGATATTTGCGTCCGGCAATAAGAATTTAGTGTGGTGTATCCGGTTTGGATTCATCCACCTATCCACACGAATAATTATACGATACTGCTATTTACATTTGATAATTACTATCTAGCAGGCATGCGCAGACCCTGCCGACGATTCGATTTCGCGGCATTTTTTAATGTCACTGTAGCTTTATCGAGCACAATGGCTAGGCCCGCCTGTACGTTGACCCACCAGGCTCTTGTTCGCGCTGGACGAACCCAAAATCGCTTTTGCTTGATGAGGTTCAGAACGATGACATTTTGCACGCCTTCGTCTCGAACTTAGAGACTCCACAAACTGAATGAGATTAAGTCTTCTTTTGAAATGGCTAATTGTTGTCCTCAAAAAAGCAAAATTTATTTCAACGCATGCAATAAAACCGCCATTCAGTTGAACTTAAAAGTTTTCATGAAGACTGGATCCGAGTTTATGACTTAGCTGACTTCAAGAATATCAGGTTTGAGTAGTCCACACGAATTCACTAAACCCGCCGGATTAAAAAAAAACTATTCTAGAGAGCGGTTTCCGTGAGCGGATTCACTGGTTTCGTGTGGACGGAAGACTGATTTGTAGAGAAAGTCTGCGCTTTGAAAAGTATCCGGATTCGTATAGACGGGGCCAAAACTGTTACAAGAAGTGAAGACTCACCCAATTTCTTTTTTCTTACAGTAATATCTTGGTCATATTCCTGATTTTAGGTACTGTTAAAATTGAGAAAGGGTGAATACATGGTCAACAAAGGAACGATTTGACATCAAATACACATCAAAAACATTTTTCGAATCGTTCAAATAAAGTTCAGAGGAAATATTCTTTGTTCAAAAAAAAGAACTTGGCGGCTTGCATTGTCGATGAAACACATACCATCAAAACCTGGACAGGATTAATGAATGAAACACTTACCAGGGGGCATGTGAAAAACCTTTCGTTATTTGCTCGAAGGCGGTCCTGTCGTCTGATGTTAATGTCTCGTTAATGCAGCCTATAAACTTAAATACCATTTGAACACTCCAACTTTTCTTTTAGATTACAGCCACATAGTCCCATTGAAGTGACCTCCAAGAACTGAACTTCGATTATACCATTTAGTGGCGCAAAAAAAGACCTTCACTGCCTAGTAAATGTAGTACATGTTTACAAACTATCTGGTGTTTTCTTTGATTGACACTTTTCTCGCCTACCGCGAACATTTATTTCCTCAGGAGTCTCTTAACCAATAGGAATTTTCTACACTCTCAGAAAGCGAGCAAAAACGTTTTTCATGGGTAGCATGTGTAGCAGGCGTCGAAAGGTGTAGGGGATAGGGAGGAAGGAAAAAAGGGAGGGGCAATGACAAGAGAGGATAAGAGACGCCTGCTGTAAGAGCCCTCTTTAGTTTCGCTTGCGTAAGCAGCGAGACCCATAATCTGCAACACGTTTTTCGCCCCGGGGGTACTCCCTTATATAAGCTATGTAGGTATGTGCGGCGCCAAAGGGTATGTTTTGTTCAGCCGTTTTGGCTCACACGGTGGGTGACTCCTCCTAAAATGTTCTGTAATTGGTATTGTTGGGTTTCAGATGACGTCACTAAAATTCAAATTACAAAACTATGGATCCTACCGAGATTTCACTTTCATGGTGTATTAGAGCAGCTGAATACTAATTTTCAAACTAATTTTCGCTCTAAAAGGTTTCTTGGTTTTGTAGTAGAGTACGCTTGTATTTCTAAGCTTTTGCGTGACGCATTATTTACATGACAGCCCGAGAGAGCTGTCATATAGGTTAAAAAAGTGACTTTTTTCGAGGAATTTTGCTATCTAAACAGTTCAAGTATTAGAAAAAGTATTACTTTAATGTTTGTGAGTTCCTTTAGGAGTAAATTCACGCTTTTGTAGCAAAACTCGGTAACAGATGTCTCTGTTGGTTTCCGTCCGCCATGTTGGAGCTC